AAAAAAAAATTTTTTTTTTTCTCATTTGCGAAAAAGCATTATTTGAGAATTTTGCGTATTAATAGGTGCAGAAGAAAATGGAAAAGATGAAAGGGATCATGATGGATATTTCAAAGAGGCTTTATTGGATTAGCGTTTGATTTCTGATCTGTAAATTACTGGAAACCATACGTTGAAAACCATTGCAGTTAAGCAGATAAAATTGTGAAAAAAAAAATTAAGTAACGTTATTTTAATATGATTTTTAGGTGTAAATTGAATGACTGTTTAAAAAAGTTCTTTTTTTTTTGCATAAATATAATAGTAATTCGTTCTTTGTATGTCTTATCTTTAAGCAGCAATATTTCTGTATAATTTTCGACGATATTATTTCACGGTATTCCACCGATTACTTATCAGCAATAATTCTACGGTGCGGTTACAACAAACTTTAAAGAAACATTTATTATTTTCTACTTTAAAATATTATACATTTTTAACTCATTAAAAAAAGAAAAAAATTTTTTTGCTCGTTTTCGTTCTTTGCTAGCTAATTATTAAAGATTTTGTCTTGTTGAATTTCGAGATAAACAGCGATTAAGACAGTTAAGTGCATATTACTCAATTAGTTTTACAGCATAACTTATCAGATTGTCTGTAAAGATGATAATAGATAAAGAAAGAAGAAACTGCAAAATTGAAGCAACAAATTCAATTCTAACTTATAGTCCTAGATAAAGCTCGATTTGGATTCAATACTGGCTTATATAGGGTTTTAGAAACAAACTTTGTGTATCTGATGACTTTCTAAATGAACGGATAATCTCCATTTGTCGATTAATTAATATCTGTTACAAAATAAAATTCACGTCAGTTAAAAGTTTTTAAGTAAAAGGAAATTTTTTCTGTTCATATATGTTTAATTTAATTGAAGTGTTAAAGTAAATTTAAGAATCTATTTGAAGGTTTTATTAACAGAAATAATTGTATGTAAACTTTTTTTTTCATCTTAGCTCTTTAACGTTTAAACCATTTCAATTTTATTCTCTCATTTTTTTTTAACTTTTTTATTCTTTGGTGTTTGCAATATGTCTTTATAAAAAAAAATTTTGTAATTTTTTTTTTATTTTAACAAAAAACGTTAATTTTAAAAAGTTTTTTTTTAATTTTTAAATATTTTACAGACAAAAAAATATTTTGATTTTGCAGCGATGGTTAATTTAAGTTTTTTACTTACCTCATTTTTTGCGACAATTTGTTTTTTGTTCCTTTTTCTTCTCAACTTTTCATTTTATTCAGATTCTTTCTAACTTTTTTTAGAGTGGTATAAAGACTGTAATAGAAAAAGAATTTCTACATTTTTATAGATATATTACTTTATGCTTTTTATCTTTACTCTAGCTCTTACTTGTTTTTTTTCCTACTGTTACTAAATCAAACATTTTATATTGCTGTCGATTTGGTCATCTGTTGTCAAGCTGGTTCAAAAAAACACGCAGTTCTTTGATATTTTTTCAACGACTGGTATTCTTAGATTTAGTGATATAGAAATCAGAAGATTTCTGTCAGCAGTCCTGAATATTGTAAATTTTCTTGTACGAGTTGACGCCTTAAGTCGTGTTAAAGATGTTTGAAAAAAATTCTAAGAAATAGGTTGGCCACAGTGGAATTAAATATCTCAAATTTTCGATTTCTGTAGATAATGTCTACAAGATGACAAAACAGTATAACACTCTTATGCGGTAGTTTTTCAGAAACCTCGCGTAGTGCATCTGAATCTTTAAGTATATTTTTTAATTCAATGTAATTTTTCTAAGTAACCTTTTTGTTGACATTTAAAAAGTTTATGTTGACTGCTTCACAAAAATTCATTAAGTACTAATTACTGTCTCAAGCCCAAAAAAAATCTGTATTTGTCTTTCTCATTCGTCTAACAGGTGATTTATATTTACCTACTAGATAGTTGTCTTGCAGTCATTATAAACTATCTACCTTTTATTACAATTATAACCTGGTCTGGAAACAGAAAAAGCTGTTTTTAATCAGACATGCTTTATCTCTTGTAACTCAACGAGCTTTTCAGGTATCTTGTACCCCAACTTCTTTTTTTCTTTTGCAATTGGGTGCAGATTAATTACTGGTTTAAAGTCACCACTTCTGAAGCTATGTTCAGAGCAATCTTCTTTGGAAAAATTCTGT